CCTCCCAGAGACACTTTTGTGTGAGATGGGTGGCCATATATTTGATGAATGAATGAATGAATTTACAATTTGCGGCTAGATCATATAGCTGGTAACCTACAGGTTTCCACAAGAGCTACCCCTGTGATCACAGCAATGGTGACAATTTAAATAGAGGTGTCTTGCAACATATTCTATCCCCTCCACAAAACTCCACATAATTATGGCTGTCTAAATGAATGAACATGTTTTATTTTCTACAAAATACACCTACCTTTGTCCTTTGTTTTAAAAAAGTAAATTGTTCCTTCTGTGTATTCCAGCTATCATCCAGGATTGCCTTCCATTCCTATCTAAAATTCTGAAGAGAGTAGCTTCCTTTCAATTTCCTGTTACTGTCAGCAGTTCTCATGGAACTGTTTCAATTGGAAACTGTGTGGGAAATTCAGCTGAGTCAGCACTGGCTTGTGTTATAAATGATCTGCTGGTGGCCAAGGCAAACTATCAAAAAGGGCAAAGACTGCAATGTGATGTTGCTTTTGTCATTTGGACAAAAACAGAAAACTTCTGCTGATGCCCACAGTGGGGCTCTGTATTTTAGTTATGATTTTAAACTGGATTGTAGTGTGTTATTCCTTGGGTATCTTGATATTGTACTGCACTGAGTTATGAGTTCATGAAAAATAAAACAACAGCAATGGCTACTATTATTTTACATGCATATATGTCATGGAATAAACAGCTGAACTCAAACTATAATGTAAATATGCATACCCTTTGAAGTTCTTGATTCTTCTCTTCCAACTGAGCCTCTAGGTGCCTCATGCGTTCTTCAATATTGCCATGTCTTTCTTCTGCCTATAAAAATAATATACATTGGTGTGAAACTTTAAATAGCTTTTTAAATCAAAATGTTCATTTTCAAAAAAGGAAATATAAAGCAAGCTACTACTAACTGCAAAACTTAATTTTATTCAAACAGGCAGCTGAACAGCATCGCTTGAAATGTGTCAGCTTACAAAGGCCTGTTACATCCAAGCATCCAGCAAAACATTGGAGTTATTTATGAGCAATGAAATCAGCCAAATGTAACATGCAGACTGTGCATGGTTTGAACACAAACCTGCCATCATAAAATTGTAAGCTCTTTAAGCATTGAACTGCACAATGGTTGATTATCAATAAAATAAATACAGAAATTAAAGATTTCTTAAAAATATGAAAACAAAATCAGATGGATTCTATTTAGCAATAGAAAGTAAAGTCCTGTAGGACTACCTTCCTACGTATGGAGATCATTTCTTGTAGTTTAGCTTCCATAACATATTGATAATCATCAGATGAGGTAGAAGAGGTTGGATCAGACTAACGTCAAGGAAAAGGAGAGGGACAAAATTGAAAAATCAGAACTAAAGACACCACACTGAACAGAATACAGCACAGAATGCTTAAAAGAAAAGTGTGATTGCAAATTTAATATTTTAACTGACAAAATTTTATGTAGAATAAACCACACTTACAATAGGGTGATATGAGGCAGTTGATGCAGATGGAGTGAAAACAATGGAATGCTAAAAAAGCCAACAACCTAAGTATGGAAATTCCAGGTTAGTGATGGCTGGCTGATGAGAAATTATTCTTCCTCCACAGAGGGGTATTCAAAGTTACTATGGCAAATACCAGGTCTGATTGGAATTTGGGTAAACTCATAATTAGAGTGTGAAAAGTCAGTGCCAGAATGTGTTTTTGAAGTTTATCCTACAATCATAATGAAAACAGGGTATACAATGTTACAGATTATATTAAAGTAAATGGATTAAACATTTTTAGAATAATGTCATGGAGATTCCCTTAGAAGTGTAAAAGCAGATAACTAAATGACACTGTACTTCTAGGTAAAAGAACAAACTCCTCTTACAATGAAGAGTGCTTAATAGGGGTGAATATAAAGCAAATGTCTAATTGCTTTACCAAGTGTGTAGACCACAGCTGGATATGCTACGACTGCATTTTGTTGTGGTGCACTGAACCACAATCTGGGCAAATATATTACCATGGATTCTCAGTTGACTATAAACATTCAGTGAAACTCTAAAAAGTATTGTGGACTTAGTCTTTATCTAACCAAGCAATGCGATTTTATGTGAAAATTGCAAAATAGTTCTATCCCATTAAGTTCAATCAGGTTTACTTCCAAGTAAGTGAACACATGATTGTAACCTAAATTTATACTATTAGATTTGCACTTTTCAGTCAGCCCTTTTCACTTCTGTAAAAACAAGTATGCTGTTTGAAAACAATTTGTGATTTATCCAGCTAAATGCAGGCAGATATCTATGTGGGCCACTGCTATTTCGGCAATCCCTGGCAGGTGGTAAAATCAGAAAAACATATTGAGTTTCTGGCAGGTATCAGAGATGCCCGGTGAGCTGCATTTGAACTTGATGGCACACAAATTAAGAGAAGACACTAAAGATTATTTCAAGATACTAATTATTAAATAATCCAAAACATCTTGAATAGTCAGTGCAAAGCATAAAACCCCATCTATTGCTTCAATCTATTGCTTAAAAATGGCTAATTCATTCAAAGGGGAACATCGTTTTTACTATAAATTCCATGAACATAAGGAGGATGTTCTCATACCTTTCATGGATAGTCCCTTCTGTTGGCTACAAAAAGGATCAAATTGGAAAAAATACCACAGAGAGGGCTTACTCTATCTCTGAAACAAAGCTAAACTTTCAACTTTTTCTGAAACAATCAAGAGAATATTATTTCCAGAGAACAGAAGGACAGAGGTCAAACTTTCTAACCACCTAATCTCAGAACTGAGATGTATGATTAGGCAACTGACCCCACTGTCCTGTCAGAAAAAGAATTTTATAGGTTTTCCCTTTTTTTTCAGTGTCCTGTGGGAGGTAATTAGAATACCCAGAAAACAAATCTCAGTTGTTTCCAAAGACAATAACTGTACTACTCGCTTCCAGAACCACAAAAAGCTATTATAAGATATAAGTATAAGAAGAGTCCAGTTGAATAAGGCCATAGACCATTCTAGTCTAGCATTATATATCACATGGTAGCCCACTGAAGCATTTGGGAAACCTACAAGCCAGGAATGGAGGGCAATGACCTCTTTTCCTGTCACTTTCCAGCAAGCAGGATTTAAAGCATGTTCCTCCATGATTCATGAGGTAGTAAATAACTATCAATATTATTTGGCATGGATAGTTTGAACCTCTATGAGCCACTCAGCATCCTTTGAAAGCCACCCTAATAGCCTGCCATTACTACATCTGCTGGCAGGAAATATCTCAATTTATGTGCTGTGTGAAAAAATACTTTGTGCTATCAGTCCACAATTCTCCCTGCATTTTGTTTCAATGGATAAACTAACATTCTAATAGTATGAGATGGTGAAAAAGGTTTCTGTATACAGATTAATATGCCATGAATGATTTATACACTTCTGTCTCCCCTTACCTTCATTTGCCCCAATTATTTTCTTTATGAGTCAGCAAAATACCTCAGAATCACATGCTCTAATACTGATCAACTCAATCAGTCTACTTAATATTGATGGACTAGGGTTCATGACCTACTTAAAATTAGTGCTAAAGAAAGTGAAGATTTCCCAGATCTAGCTATATATAATTTAAGGGCTCTATAAATCTATAGTAACTAATCAGACATGAAATGAAACTAGGGATAGACTTTGTTTAGCCCAGGCATTGGTAATATTTGAAATGTTAAGGACTATGACTCAGACTCCTGACTTTCCAGAAGGTAGCAGGTCATCCAGTGACATGGTGCAATAATCACAAGGGGTGAGGCTGAATTTGTTTTAGCCCTTTTGGAGGGAGTTAAAGTATGAACGGGAGTGGAAGACATCTGGAAAATAAACTATTCTCACTCTCACCTTTAAAATCCTCCCCCAATGGCATCAAATTATCACCCTTAACTTTTACCCTTCTTCCCTCCAAAAATCATAATGTTGTACTTCAACCATTTTGATACCAAATGTTGGTGACGTTATCTTGGGATGCTGGGGATCTGACCACAAGTTAAGATTTGCCATCCTTGTTTAATTTATGATTCTAACATCTCTTGCCCAGACCAGACGATACAGATGTTGTCCTTACCAAATAATCTCATAAAGGTAACCTAGCAGTTATGGGAAAACTATGGTTATTGGATTTGGTCAAAGACCTTCACAGTGTATGTAGAAAAGTAGCTCTCATAATATCCATCAGGACTTTTTAATAGTCATATCTGGGTCTGCTATTTTCTTCATCTGGCAGGTGGTCATGTCATTCTCAGTTCTTTGAAATTAGAAGTTGACAAAGCATTAAATGAAATACTAAGGTTTTAGAGTACTGGAGATGGCCACCAAATTTTATATTTGCTGAAATCAAAACAGCACATTTTTTCTACAGAGTAGAATTTGGTTCTGAAAGTCACACCAAACATTAAATATTTTCAAAACAAATTGTTAAATTTCTTTGGGTAACCAGATCCACCCCTGTTCCATTTTTATATGGTACAGTATTCATTAGGTTAACTTTATTATTAGATTATTTAACTACTAACTCAATTTGCTTTCTCTTTGAGACTTTACAATTAGTTAAAATTCAGACTCTTCAAGCAAATGAAAGTTTCATCTGGGCTTCAAAACCTAAACATTGAGAGTTTTTCCTCTCCTTTGAGTTTTTTCCCTACCAATATTTAGAGATTATATATAGACACCAAATTAATTTAAGTAACAATGAAAAGAACAGACTTCTTTCTTGCTATGCAAAAGTCTGTGTTATTGAGTGAGAATAAGCTTTCTAAAGTTAATTCCCTCTCCTACTGTTAGAAATTCTTTAACTCAACTAAAGCTGCAACAGATAGCAAATGTAATTTTAGAAGGTCATTTGAAGAAAATAAATGATAAATGAGGATGAATGCTGCATTATGTTTTATTCTATCTACTTATAATAGGGTAAAACTAATATGGCAGGTTTTGCCCTATCAACTTTAAAGACTGGGCTAAATATTTATTCTTCCAGCAGTTTAAGAAGTAAGCCAGGACTGTAAGTATTTTGAACACTTTCTCTCATATCATCACTTTGAGTATTTTGTCATCTGTTTTAATATGCCCTCTTTCTACTGTAACCTATAAGAGAAATAACAATGTTTGACTGACCGATTCATCATTAACTGAATGAGTCTAGATGAGTCCTGAGCCTTTGTGATCACTGCTCTCCTCTCTTCTTCTGATACAGCAGCAAGTAGAAGGAAGCTTTCACTTTTATTTTCAATTAGCCAGGAGTTTAATGTAAGTGTCCTCATAAACTGTTGTTAAATTACTCTATAGGATATCAAGCCAGATCTAGAAACCACACTGATCTGTTACTAAATCACAGTTAAGACTGTCCAAGTTTGGGCTTACTCAAACCTAAAGTTTGCCCATTGGGTTCAGCTCTCTTAACAATCCATGATAAATATCAGTCAGTCTGGAAAAAAGCTTTATCAGACAAATTGGTGTCACATGCCTTTTCCTCAGAGCTCTTGTTATTAATACTATATGAACACATTAAAGAGACCTTAAAAGAAGTTAAGGACATAGAAATAAAAAGTGATATAATCTAGTTTCCAATGGTCCTGGTCCTCAAAAATGGATATTAATATGGAGCCAGTTAACTATCTTCCTATTTTGGTATTGCCTACATATTTGGTCTTCTCTCAGGATTTTAACATACTCCCATCTGCCTTGCTGGAAGACTAATTTAGTAAGATTCCTTATTAGGAGCTACTATGTCCAAGCATGTCAAATGCAGTCAGAATCATGCCTTAACTTTATTGTAGGCATTATAGAGAAATGTGGAATATGAATATGAATATATATATATATATGAATATATATATATGGATATATATATATCCATTTTATCAAAACTCCCAGGTTTTCTAAATGATTTTGAATCTTCCTCTTAATATCAGGTAGATACCTGAGTACTGTATTACACAAAGCAAAGCCAAGTTGTGTGCAATAGCATGTAAAATCCAACATGAGATAACAGCAGGCTCCTCTTAATAGCTTATAACATTAGTTACTCAGATTAACGTGATTCTGATATAGTTACAGAGATTTGGTTTTTTCTATGTTTAATATTGTTGATCCTTGGAATAAAAGCTTCCTGTTTCATTTTCGGGTTGGATACCCACTAAGCTAGAATCAGTTACATGAAAGCACAAAGCTCCCAAACACTGTCTTACAGATATCATAGAGGAGGGAGAAGCAGGTGAACTTAAAGTATGCTCAGGCTCCTTCACATAATTCAGAAGCTGGTTTACTAGTGAATTCCAGATTTCACAGTTCTGGAAATTATGCATTTGTTTCTAGGATCAACTGAAAGAAATGTCCCTGCAAGGCCAACAATATTTTTGTGCATCAAGTATCAAGAAAGAAATTAAGCTTTCTGATAATGCAACAATTAAGCATTGCGATGATGATGATGATGATGATGATGATGATGATGATGATGATGATGATAATAATAATCCAGTCCAAACATCTTGCTGACTGTGTGACCAACTATAATGAAACATTAAGACCTTGAAGGAGTCATGGCGATTGAAGTTACTTGGGTCAGATGGAGTAGGTCGATACTCTTTATTTTCTACTTTTGTCCCTCTCCCCACAGAACCTTCTACTAGATCTCTCAACAAGCTGTCAACTGAATGGACCAGAAGATATCTGAGTGCTATATTATGGAAGATCAAAAGCCATGCCTGAGCTGCATTCTTAAGAACCATTTCCTACCACTCTTCATAGTTCAAAGAAGAACTCTATTGAGTTTTTGCTTGGTGTTTCTGACATTTTGTTTAGACTGAGAAAAAGGAAGGCACTGGCAAAGATAACTACTAAATATATATTGTGAGCCAACTTTGGATATATCATATATAATCTAATTATCTAAATCAGGATCCTCTAACCTGGACACCTTTTAGATGTTCCAGCATTGGCTGGCTGGAGAGTTTTGAGAGTTGAAATTCCCATATCAGGAAAGAATATAGGGTGAGATAGGGTGGTCTAAATAGTAGCTTCCCCCCATCCCCTTCAATTAAAGTATTTTAAGCTACATACAAATCTGAGTTACACAACAAAATCTAGATGAGATATATAAACCACATATATTTATTGAACAACAGAACTGAAAACATTGAGAACAACTAATATACTTACAGTGTAACAAAAAGAACTAGTAAGTAATATTACCACTAATATTAATATTACCCTTTTTCATCAATATAGGGACGATAGAGAAGATAGATAAGGCTGAACCAGTTTGGCAGGCTATACGTATATTGAAAAATACAACTTACACTACTTATTTTCACCTGACTGTGTAATAGAGAACCTCTAAACTGGGATCCTAAGTGCTCCATTATAGAGCACCATTATATGTATTTTTCTCCATTTGTTCAGTTAGAGGGTACAGAAGATATACACGAACATTCATTCATCTACTTCCTCTGTAAAAAAATAATATGGAAACCTTCATGTGTATTGGAGTTTCCTTTTCAACACATTGCTTTGCAGATAAGGTGATTTTCTGAATATTACCAGAAACCCTAGCAGAGCAGGAAAATATTATCTCATTAAATGATTGCATGAGCAACTGAAAAGTATTTGAATAGATAGCCAAATAGGAATAATAATCCATTAATATTTTGAAAATGGAAGCAAGGAAACACAAATTCATTTTTGTACCTTTGATGTTGTTTTGAGTTTTTAATATAACATTTTAATTGAAAAGGGTTTTCTTTCTACTACATACCATCAAACTTGTTTTACAAACTTGTAAACTTCTAATAGACCATTCCTCTACATCTTTATTCAGAAGTTAAGTGTTGCAGAAGAAAAAGGGGAATTGCCTCCCAATAAAATATGCAGAGGAAGGCACTCTTAAGTTCCACAGTACAAAGCAGAACAGTATGGTCTGAGAGCTAATAAAGAGGAACCACAAAGGATGTACAAGTGTAGCATGCCTTTACTTTTGTACATCTTCCATAACAACTAAGCTGGCAACTTGCACGTTTTTAACAGATGTGTTATAGAGCAGATGTGCAAATTCCAGAGATGTGGACTGCATATTATTGGAATAGTTTATCAGGCACTTGTCCTAGCCAAGCTCTTAATGCTCTCATGCAACACAGAATCCTTCAAGAGTGGCCAAGAAAAAAAAAATTGAACCTTGCAATTTATTTTAATGAAAGTGATCACTGTGTTTTGCTGAATCAATGTGATGTAGAAAATCATGAAGAAAATTCAATGACAAATAAATTTTGTGATGTTTAGCTGAACTGGATTAATCATAACTCTTTTATAATACAATGTATTATAAAATAAACTCCTCTGGGACATTGGCAGAAATATATAAAGCCAAAAAAGAAACACAAAGCAATACCTCTGCCATTAAATTAAACTGAACTAAAGCAAGTAACTTTGTCTAATTAGTATTTATTTACGGTGCCATTAAGTAGAATCATCTTGTCCACTCCAAAACAGTCTTTTATTGCTGTTGACGGTGCTGAAGGGAGGAGAAATGGATGAAAATCAATGTTAAAAGAAGTCAACTTTCTGAGACTAACCTATTCCTAAACTTACATTACCTTAGTCAGTGCTGCAATTCTCTGGGCCAATTCTGCCTCCACCTCTGGTAAAGTCTCAGCTTTTCTCATTGTTTGCTGTAGCTTTTGCTCAGCTAACTCGAGACGTTCTTGCAGCTGCCTGTTTTTTTCTTCCATCTGAAATCCAGAAATTGTAAGATTAAAGGTTAGATTAGGAATAGGTCAATGGCGGGTGGTGGTGGTGGTAATGGTAAGAAAAGATATAGGTGAATAGAAACAACTGGATATTAAAATCTCCTGGACCAGCATGGTTCATAGTAGAATTCAATTGTTTAACAAGTCAATTAAACCATTTATGGCTCTAAATCTAGATGAAAAGCCCAGAATGGAATAGGATAACTGCAGTTTACTTCACTGTCAATTTAGGAATGAAACACATGGAATTTAAATTAAATCTAAAAAATGTCCATGCTTCATAATAGTCTAATTCTCAGAATCACCCCCAAGGAAATTGAAAATCTGAAAGTGGAATCTGTGTTATATCTGCAATAAATGTATCCTTCCAACTAAGACATAAGAATATTTGTTCCAATATTAAAAGAAAAAAAGAAGAAAAAAGAGGTATATCTTGGTTGGATACTCTGGTATATTAACCCAGCTTTCACCCCCATTTTATGTATCACAGATACATTAATCAAAAATTTTATCTTTCTCTGAAGTAAGCTAGTAGTATAATAAGAAAGTAGAAGAAATAATAAATGGCACCTATAAATCTATTGTACGAAAGAGAATTCCAAATTATCATCATGATAATGCTTCACTCTACATTTTGATGTATTATACAACCCATGTATAAAATATAAAATAATCATAATCATAATGCCACAACCTTCTACATTATCACTGTTTTGGGAACTTTAATCTCCATCTTTTATGGTCTTCAATTCTATATCTTGGGTGATATTCGTGGCCAGCTGCCTAAGAACAAATATTTCCTTGTTCCTAAAATATAACTGGTAAAGCAAGTAAATAATTATATATAAATAAAGAGAATAAATATTCACATGAATGAATGCCACTGGCAGATTATGAAGTTCATAAAGTGTGCCAGTGAATGCAACCAGTAGCTTAGTTTACCTCTTTCATATATTTGAACCAAAATTAGAGTGCAGTCTTTTCATTTGCCACAGCTTTTACAAAGCAGCGTCATTCAAAGGGTGAACTTTGTTTAATTGTGTTTACTATGATTGAACTCAAAGCAAAATCAACATTAGATTGTTTTGTATCTTACCATTAAGCTATGCTTACTAGCATAAAATAATGATTTAGAATCCTAACAACTTGTACAATTCGTGTGTGGCTATGTTTGCTGCTATATAGCTGGCACCCTTTTCATTCTGGTTTGCCTCCGTCTTACCTAGTATATTCTTAAAAGTTTGCCATCCTACCTTGGTGGATACCTGGTCTCACAACCCAGCAGGCTCCAAAACAAAACCTTATCATGATGGCTATTTATAAAAAAAAATAAATCCTAATCTAAACATGATTTGTGTTAGCCTCTCAACTTGCTTATATGAAAATCCAGATTCATTCCTCACTCCAATCAACAGAAAAATCAACCCATGAATGTAAACGTGCCTGTCGTCATTTGAGGCAAATGCAATGTGTAAAGGGGGGCGGGGGGGGGGAGCTTATCTGAATGGTTTCTCCTGCAATTCATTTGAGCTGTAGCAGCAGTCCCGATACAGAACCTGGCGCAGGATGGCTTCCTTGTTTGCGAGTTCATTTTCCAGCTTATCATTCATGTCATGTATAGAAGTGGATTCCCTCTGTGCACTTAGGTAACGCTTCTCCAGGGTAGTTATCCTTTCTTCCATATCTTCTTTCTGGGCCATAGCCTTGAAAGAATAACCAGCATGTCAACATACAACAACACTGCAGTGGCTAGCTATAGATGGTCCTATACAACACCTTTGAAATGAAGTTCCACACTGTGAGAAAAATTTGTACTGAAATTTACTCACCCATAAGCAGCCAACCTGGAAAGCAGTTTGAGCATGAAACCTAATGGACAGATTACTTAAGTGGGGATTCTGGGGGAAAGCTGTTAGAATTCTAGGATCCTGATGTAGATCTGAATCTGATATTGCTTGTCTATCTGCTACTGCACCCACTCATTGTACATTTATAAAGAGACTTTATTTACAAAATGTTGTTAGGTAACTAGTTTTCTGTCTTAAACTTTTGCATGTATTATGATAAAGAAAAAATAGGAAACACACACAAACACATCCTTCCAATATAATAAACTTATCTAGAAACTCAGAGGGAAGAAGAAATGCAAATGATAGTTTTGACAGACAGACAGAAACTCTATTTCAGTCATTGACCAATAAAAATACATTCAGTAAAACAAAATTAACCCCTAACATCAATGACTACTGGCAACCATTTGTGGATGAAGCTTACACATAATGTAGCAAAATTTTGCTACTTTTAGAAAGAGATATTTATCCTGGTTATCTAACAGATAATCCAAATAAAAATTATTGGACTGCCCCATAAATTTAGATAAAAAAGGGGTAATCAGCCAGTGGTGAATGTCCCTGTAAAACTGGTAGTAGGAAAGAACATGGGCTGTGGTAAATGATAGTTTGGATAGATCCAAATGGATAGATCCAATGATAGATTCAAAACCAAGATTTGGATATGAGGACAATTCATATTATCACCTGATGAAAGATAAACTAAGGCTTGTTTCTGGACATTGTAGATGTATTTTAAAATGCAAAGTAATCCTTCATATCATTTATTCAATTAACTTTTCTGAATAATTTATATTTTTATAAATATGCAATCAACATTTGGAATGTTTCCTACTTTTCCTCCAACTTTCTATCCTATTTTAATTCCTCACAGTGTGAAAATCATGAAAATTAAAGACATGTTTTAAAAGCAATTAAATCATACATTACTTTAAATAGCAAGAGAAAGTGCATTACAGTGATGTAAATTAGCAAAATTAGGACATAGCAGGCTAAAATATTCTGCTCAATATGTCATCATTTTGGAGGGAGCAGTTAGTAGGAGAATTTAGGAAGTCTCATTCAGTTTTGACAAAATATTAAAAACAGTTTTATGGAGGTTAGTACTGTCTTTGATGATTAATCTACCTTTCTTATTGACTAATGCTACATTGCAAATTATGTCTCCACAATATATCACAAGATCATCAGTTTTCTGCCAAACCCACATATCTTCTCTCTCTCTCTCTTTTTAGAGAAATGTTTCATAGATGAAGCTCTTTATTTCACTTGGTAAGTCATAGTGAAAGAACTGATACACACATATGCAAAAATACAAGTGCTATCAGAATATTCATCTACAGTTAAAGATCTTAAACTGGGTGTTAAATGTTAAAGGCAAATGCATTTTTCCCAATTGGTTGTACAAAAAGTACAGTTTCCTAAATAGATTATTCTCCGACCTGAACCAATGACTGGATGAACATCCAAAAGAGATTATTTAAATCATTTACCTCTCTAATATCTCTCTGATATTTGCTGTTCAGTTCTTCAGTTTTAATGAGGTCCTTCCTAGCGGTCTCTGCATCTTGCTCCACCTCTCCAACTCTGGAAGACAGTGCAGCCAAGCGATCCTTCATCTGTGCCATTTCATAATTTTGCTTTTCGAGAAGTTCTTGAAGTTCTACCAACTGAGTAGTCTCATCATTTGAGTCTATAGAGCCATTTGATAGACGCTGTTCAAAAAAAACCACAAACATACCAAACGCTGACAGCAATATACTTAAGAACCAGAGCAAGAAGGATCAGAGCCGCATGGATATGTAATGTATATTTTCTTAAGAATCCTGAACTCTGCATTGATTATGCTCTCTGAAATACACTTACAAAAGATTAGGTATCTAAGCAGCAGTACTTCAAGCACATTAAATTATCAGACAATATTTAAAGTCCAAAATCAGCAACTCATAGTTAGATTTTTTTTTCAAAGTGGTTCTTGTAGAAGTATATATTGGGGGAGATGGACGGCATACAAGTTTGATAATAAATAAAAATAACTAAAAATAAAATATATTCTGTTCATGTCTCCTTCTTCCCCACTGAATATATAAATATTTTCTGTTATCCATTCTATTGGTCAGATTTATTACAATGGCTGAATGTGTATGCTGTGTTTTTTCCTCTTTGTTTCCTTTTTCATTTGATTTATTCTTCAAATATTTTGGTAATGTATACATGTGCTTAGCTTAACTATTTTTTTTTAAAAAAGCTTTTCACCCTGAAAAAATGATAAAGCAGGCTAGGCATATACATATTATTGCTATAGTCAATTTTTAGTCTGAAATTCATTTGCTCAAACAGGGAAGCACTGGAACTACAAAACAAAGCAATATATTTAATGTTAATACAATAGGAATATTGTTGTGAAATATTGACAGGTGTGACTAAAATATTACCTTTAATGTTAAAGCCTTGGAACTGGTTCCTAGTTTATATATAATTCAGCTTATTTTCACAAGTAATTGCTTAAATGAGTAATTCTGTTTTATTTATAAAATTTAGAAATTGCCTCAATCTACAAAGAACTCTAAGCATTTCTACTCATATGAGCTGTAACAGGAGCTAACTATATTTAGAAACCCATAGCAACAGCTTTATGGGAAAGGATTTCCACCTTCAGAACAAATAATGGGTACCACTGTGATTTCTAAAAGAATATTTACTTGACCATAAAGATACTTTTGTGCTAGAGTGACCTCAGTTGGTCAACTAAGGCACTGCTATCTATATGTGCTTATTGATTCATACAGTTACTTTTCTTGGCTCAAAGACAGCAATTAATCCCTGATATTTATATATGACTAACATTAACAATTTTATTCAAATCATAAAAGCTATCTATACAATTTGCCTCCTGCTGATTTCAACAGAGTCAGTGAATCACACTTGTACTTCCTGACATAAAAAAAATTCATACAATCTCTGAAACATGTTCTAGGAGTCATATATTCTCTAGAGAGTCTGATATTATTAGCCTATGCCTAATCATGTTTTTGTATGAGTCAGAAATGCACAAGTGCTTTATGATTTGAAGCTTGTGTCGTGCTTTAACATGAAACTGTTCTATTTCTTGCTCATGCATTGAAATCAGCACGTTCCTACTGCAAGTCAGCAGACCATTCTCTGAAGGCATATTTCAGGCATGAACAAAATTTGGAAAGATGCACTTAGCTAATTAATCAGTTAAATGGCTATAATTCAATTATATACTACTAGCTTTATTAAACTAAGAAAAAAAAAAGCTGCCTAGTACTTTCTTGCTTTAATATTTTGGCATTTACAAAAACATAATTTTGCAGTTTATCAGGTATTTATTTTGAGTAGCTGCATAAAACAATACAACACATTAACTCATCAAGATATTATTAATTGTCATACATATCATCTAACATTCTACACTGAATTTTCCACAGGCATATTGGTACAGAGATATGAGAAGTTTTGCCTTTAAAATATCTGTAATAACATAAGCTGAACTAATCCTTTTCAAAACTTAATTAGCTAAGACAAGTCCAGATGACTGAGACTAGATCCACTTATTGGTGGAACTCTAGCTTATTTCTGGTTAGTATTTTTGTGTAAACATTCAGTTTGTAGACCTTGTTCTTGTGGGGGGGAACTAATGGTGCTCTAGATATTGCTGAACTACAGCTCCCACTAGAACCTGCTAGCATGGTCAGTGATAAAGGGTGCTGGATGTTCTAGTGCAGCAATTTTTACAAGGCCACTGAATTTTTTCTGGCTAACAATGCATTCACAAGAAAAGGAAAAAGAAAGTTGTGCAGAATTGTGAGTTGAGTAATTTATTTTTGATATTTTGTTTTGAATACCAAAGCCAATTCTGATCATCTTGAATACTATGAGTTTACAACCCATAAAAATACGCATCCCTTGACTATCCTAAATTGTAGTATTCTACTTATTCTTGGGAGCTGAGCATGTCAGGAGAAAAGAGTGATCATATAACAAGTAGGAAAACCAGAACCATAAATACTTCTATTTTCCTTAAAATCTGCTTGTGCAGGGACAGATAAAATAGCTCTGCTGATACAACTCTACTGAGCCCTACAGGCACAAAAACAGTGTCTCTCCATAGAAAAAACACAGCGATCTACCCCTACAGCTAGGATATGAACATTTTTCCAGTTTTGGGGTCTTTTTTTCTGGCTTCCAAGGGCAGTAATGCAGAATCATTCCAGGTGGAAGTAGGGCTAGAAACTTGGAGAGGTAACATTATTAAAACATTTAAATAGATGATGGCCTATAATGTTGCAGGAAAAGAACAAAGCAATGGGTTAACGGTTGTCGGGCGGTGGCGGCCAGGTACTTGTGCAGGACTGGCTTGGATAAGTCGGAGGAAGCATTGTGAGACTCAGCATGTGTGGGAAGGAAGGCTGGGAGAGAGGCTGATAAGTCTGAGTTCATGAAGAACATTTTGAGGTGGCTGTTAGTTACTAGAAGATACTACAGGAGAATCTGTTTTAAATCACCTTTATACTAGGATCCTCCATTTCCAAGCTGGCTAACGAGGAGCAAAAGATACCTCTGCCAGAACTGCTAACTACCCCGACTGAGAGAAGCAATGCAAGCCCTGATACAACCCAACCGAACAAAGCAATGCAATTAATGTATGCCTCACTTAGGCTTCATCTAAGCATGCAAGAAGATGAAGCAGAAGAATGGCCTGAAGCAATCCAGACTTCAGGTAATGATTGGGATGTCTATTTATTGAAAATAATACATCAGGAAGTAGGGTTCTAGTTAGCATTCTCCTTCTTTTGGTTGTTGTCTCCTTTACAAAATTATTTTATGTAAAGAACCCCCCTCCCACTTTTTTTTTTTTTTTAATGCTATCTGGTTATCAGACCACAGTATGAACCCTGCAGGGATCTATGGGATGCTTCACATTTTATTACAAGTAGAATATCGGAAATAACATCCTTGGAGCAAAAACAAAAATAGAATTCTACGCCAAAGTCCTAACAGTACCAGACACCTGATAGTTTAATGGTTTGTTAGCATTGTGAAGACTGTGCAGTTAACTGAAAAAAGCCTGAATCCCCACACAAACCCATCAATGATACAAATGAGAAAAATAAGACATTTTAAATGTTGTCTTCTTATGAGAAATGTTGATAAAGATTTCATATAAAGATTGCATTTAATATACATTATTTTATATATTCAAGTCAAATAAAATCCAATAACTTTATTTCAGGATATGATCAGATCTTACATATATATTTACAAGATGGTATAAATTAGTATATAATAACCATAACCTAAAAATGACAAAACAAATTTATCTCCAAATTAGGGAGGCTGCTTTGTTCCAAATTAAGGAAGAGCGATACATTTGTATTCTCTAATCTTACAGATCATGACACAAAATTTGGCCACCTTTATATTTATCTTCAGACTGGAACTGGCTAGATCCATCATAGGTACACTGGAAGGACCATAAAATCAGGACAATGAGAAGGTGCTGCACCATATATTCTATTGATTCAACCTCTTCAGAGCTTCAAGGGCAAACTCTCTCATTATACAGAGTTTTCACATATGTCCCAAATAGAACCACCATGTAAATGGCATTGTACCTGGCCAATATTCTAGTTCTTCTGTAATTGAGAATTATTATAGTGAATAATCAACTGCTTTCAGGGAATAATTCATTCTATTCAGATTAAAGTAATTTAGAACTAGTGATAAATCCATTTGGTGATCCACATCTGTTACTTGCTCTAGCACATTCTAATTGTAGTGCCACAAGCGCCCCTGGAGAGAAAACTTACATCTGGTGCCTAGTCTCCAAGAGGAGACTCCAAGAAGATTGATAGATTGAACACAGTATAAATGAAATCTAACCCAAGGATGTTAAATTTCATTCATCAATAACCCAGACCTTTCCCTCTACCTTGAAAAGTTCACCCTTGAATTCCAAATTGATGTTGGGGATACAATTAGCAACTGGAAAAACATTTTAATTTGTTTAATTCCTAAGAAGTACAATTAGGGAGTGATGTTGAACTTAGTATTACAATGGTGCTAAGGCTTCTGGCTCAATTTTTTTTAAAAGCCTTTGGAATAAAATGGACACGTCTGGAGTGAAAAAAATCCTGGATTACAGCAAGATTGTCTTGGACACTTTGGGCTATGAATTTGGAATTTTTTTGTGAGACCCGGTACAGTGGAAAATAATCCCAAAGTATATGAAGCTTTGAGCTTCAAACCTATTCAGTCTTGATGCCATTAGTACATTACATATCTCATATATTTTATTTACCAGAGAGGAAAGAAAGCTAGCTGCCTTTCAGAGTGTAGCTTTCAGCAGTCCACTCAAAGGCCAAATACCACCCTTAGTCTGAAAAATGTTTTGCAACCAGAGGCATCCATAGAATCTACAACCTTCATCAGAATGATGAAATGGATTTTGTGATGCAAGCTCTGTCTCTTACATGGATGCAACATCACAATGCCTATACAAAAGGGACTGAGTGTGTATCCTGGTGCATTGTCATCATTTCTCAACCTGTTCCCTATGCAGATCCCCACAGCTGCATCTGCTCTTTAGCTTTATGCAGTATGAATATGCTTTACCATTGCCTTTATTAAAAACAGGAAAACAAACGTAATGTTTGTCTCAAAAACAAAGGAGATTTGTTGAAGCAATTCAAAATACACTATATACTACTACTACTACTAATAATAATAATTTACTAAATGTATATGCTGCCAAATTCCCAGAGACTCTGGGCAGTTGATATTATTATATATAGTTATATTATTTGATGATTTAATAAACATAATAAGATTCTTTCTTAACTTTTCAAACCCTGATGACTCTAAAAAGAAAGCTATAATTTATACCTTTTCATGAACTTTTTGTCCAGGTTCCATTCCTTTGATATGCTCTGTATCAGGTGGACCCTCCCCTGACGTTATTTTTCTTTGAATGTGTGCATTTTGTTCACGCAAAGCTATAATCTAGAAAAGAATTCAGAACAAATTCTTAATGTAAAAAACCATACAGTGAACACCATAAATTTACAGTATGTCTTATTAATTAGACAAAAACTAGGTAAGGTGATAAAAAACGGTAAACAAATTGTAATGAGAACTATTTTTAAATTTTGTATGTGTTTTTTGTACATTTCCAATGTGAAGAAATGTTACTGTTGTACAACAGTGGCAAGAATTCCAAAAGTTGATGGCCTAGTAATTAGAGGCTTGGCGTTGGGGTAAGAACTCACTAACATATAGAGGGCCAGAAGTTTTTCTCTTTGCAAAAAGATATAAAAAATAGAGCCATTTTTATTATATTCTATGACATGGTGCAATGAGAACAGTAAAATCTGGGAAGCCATGAAGCAGAATATGCCGGTACACTGAATTTAGGACTCAGAATATTAAATTCTATAGCTACAATGCAATTTATTTAAGTATTTCAGAACATGAAGGTGCATCATTTTAAATGAGTGCAGTTTAAATGATGCATAACAGGATGGAGGTCTAATGTACTTGGTCACTTTTCTTAAAAAAGAATTCAACTAACTGGTCACATAATTAACACTGCAGGTAAAAGAATTGAAGCCTTGTAACACATCTATGATTTGACAGACTTTTGCTATGTTATAAATGTGATTTAATTCAGATTTCAGTAACATATGTCATTTGTGTGAAAGTTAAGTCAAGAGCTGAAGTTCTGAGGCCAAAGATGAGTTATGGCAACAACCAAAAGCATTCAGGTTCAGTATCATGAGGTGCAGAGTGAGAAGTCCAATGAAAAGTGGGAAAGGCCGGAAGAAAAGGCAACCAGTGGTGGAGATAAGATGGCAAGCAACGATTTCATATGGCTTCAGTCTAATCAGCAGCAGAGTTCTTATTTAGCTGGGCTGTACTGAACATCTGAGAGACTAAAGCCAAATTTGAGCCTAGCAGCTTAATTAAGCTGTTTAAAGTCCGGGGCCTGTGATTTACAACTGAATTCTGGTCCAGGTAGTCTGACAATTTATTCTAAAATTACTTGGAAAAGGCCATATCTATTTTGCATGCAAAATACAGATGATTCTTTTTATGTAGAGGTCTGCAAAATATTCTAAGCTCAAAGGAGCTATAAATGTCTCGAACTCAGAAAGCCATCTTCTAGACTTTGTTCCAAGCTTTGTTTCAAGATTCTTGCAAACTCCAATTCACCTGAAGTCTCTCATTTGATGTGACAGAGCTAAATAAGATAGGAGAATCTGCCAATTTAGCTAATTTTCATATATATTACTTAAGAATACAAGGAGAATAATAATCAGTCCAAGACTTATCAATATCAGAATGTTGAACCTAAAGGGAGCCCACAAGCACAACAAGTATGCAACAGCATCCTCAGTTATGTTCCCTAGCAATTGGCATTGAGACGTGTGTTGCCTCTGAAAATGTATTTTATGTAGTGTATATATACAGTACATATATGCATATTATTTGGCACATAAACATATTCTTCCTTTGAGTCAGTCTTGACTCTGGCAACTACATGGATAAATCTATGAAATTTTCTTGGTTTGCCACTGCTTTCACCCAGCTGGATAAAGACAGGTCTAGAACTTGTGTTTCCCTGCTCCTAGTCCAGTGCCTTTACCAATGGACCAAACTGGTTCTCAGCTTTTATAATTAGCAGCTATTAATATCTTTATGGAGTCATAAAGTTGGAAGGAAACTCAGAAATCATCTAATCCAATCCCTGCTCAGTGCAGGAGCTGCTAAAGCATTTTGGACAGATGGTCATCTACTCTCAGTTTGAAGACCCTCAGTGAAAGGGAACATGCAACGTCATAAGGCAAACTATTCCACTGGCTGACAGCTCTTACCATCAAAAACTTCCTTCTAATATATAATCTGAATTTTCTTCCCTATAGTTGCAACCCAAATATTCTACAGATGTCCTTTGGGGCAACAGAGAATCAGTTGACTCCCTCCTCTATATGACCATACATTCAATATCTGAAAAGAGCTATCATTTTCTCCTTTCAATCTTTTCTGAAGGCCAAACTTAGAACTTGGTTCCTAGTCTCCCTACCATTTTCAGAACTTGCTCCAGTTTGTCAATGTCCCTTTTAGACTGTGGACATTTGTGTGTCCATTTAGACCAGAACATACTATTCCAACTGGAGTCTGACAAAAACAAAACAGAGTTGAACAATTATTTCCCAAGATTTGGACTCTGTTCTCCTATTAATATATCCCAGTATGAATTAATGTAATCCTCTTTTAAAGCTGTTAAATCTGGCAACCATTACTACTTAATTTCACAGAGTTTTCTCTTACTGCCAGTAGCAGGGAAAAATTGCAAACTTATATTTTTTAAATTCATTATTTTCCCCACCATGACTTTTAGCAGGGTAAGAAGGGACAGCCGGATCAACCCTCTCATCTAAGGTATGCAGAAAGGAGTTAGATCTACAGTAACTGCTACATGTAATCTCAGTCCAAGCGATGGAATATAGCAGACTTTATGGAAAGAAAAATTTGTGATGAGATCTAAACACAAAAACACAACAAAATATATAATTTGGCTCTGAAATACTACTTTCCAAAGAACTAGAAAGTAAGATTACTCTTCACACTATTTTCATGGATGTTTTTTAATGAATGAATATATTTAACAACTCCCCCCCCCCATTCATTATAACAAATTGTTCAATTTATAATCTGTAATCACATACTTACTTTACGGAACAGAAATTCTGCTGAACTAAGATAAATTAATATAGAAAGCAAAGTGGTTATTGAAAGCATACATGCCAAAAATGATGCCTGCCTTCTTATGATAGGAAAATCCAGGACTCTGCTCCCTCCTCTAGCAGAAGTGTTATTATTATTCTGTCCTAACAGATTTTATTAATGTTCTTTTCATTAAATTACAGCATATTTAAAACCATATTTAAAAATATTAAATTATGTCAGTCTAATTATACTGACTGAAATTTGCTTCTAGTTAAATTGTTTAGTACATGCTACAATGATTTAATTTGATTAACAATATAATAAAAGGGTTTGTTAGATGTTTATAATATTTTGAAATATTTTAGTTTGAAACACCCAATTTCCCTTTTCTCCCAATTAATTGCATTCACCTTTTACTGTGGGCAAAATAATTATGCTTGTTCTTCCCTGAGGATAAGTACTTATGATGTTTACCAATATGGCAGAAGATTTCTTGTATTATTTCATTTTGCCTTTTACCATCCACAAATCCACTTCACCTTTAGTCATTCAACTTGCTTCTGGTGAATTCTAAGAACTTCAGTATTTATACAGAGATGTTCAACATCTCCTTAAAATTTTGGTGAGAAAAAAAAAACCATTATTAAACCATAATCAGAAGTTCTCAGAATTAGTTTTCCTTTTTATCTTTCCAGATACATAGATGCTACATGCTAAATAAAATGTCTTGGGTCAGCCCTTCTCCTTGTGTTTAAAACTCTCAAAGATGCCAATAATTGAGAAAGCACTGTGTTCTGTATACAGATGTTCTATTTCATGACAACTGTATAACAAAGTAAATCAAACCTATAACTTGATTCATCATATCAACTTCAAAGGTATCTAGGTTTGGACTCTGGATATTTCCAAACCAATCTTCGACCTATGTACCAATTGGCTAATAACTGAACACAAACTCATATTATTCAGTGGAGAAGATTTTGATGTGAGACACTCTGCTAATAATTCCTACTGATTAACTGAAACTCCATAAAAGACCATTTTGTTCATATAATTATAAGAATCTATATAAAAAAGACCAGCCAAGAAAATTCATGAAAAATAGCCTCCACCCATCCTTCCATCTATAATGGATATAATGAATTCATTTTATTATTATTTATTACATTTATATACCTCCTGACTCCCAATGATTCTGGATGGTTTTGGGTAATAATTTAAAGGAGTTGCTTTATTTTTCTTCTTAAAATCCCCTATTTTATAGAATATCAATGTAGAGAATCAAAATATGCTCTTGGAAAAGGAATGCAATGGTTGGCAAAACATGATTTGAGCCCAGGAAAAGAATAGAATATTAGAAAGAATAAACTGCCTTAACTCTTTGGTATAAGAGAGAGGGAAAGTGTAGTCAGACTTTCAAGACTGTGCCATTATAGCTTATATCTGTTTCCTAACCTGCCCTATCTTGAAGGGCTGAGAGTCAAACATGCAATTCCTAGATGCAGCAGTGAGTTCCTATTTGTGATAACATGATTGCTCAGCAGTAGCATCTTCATATTATTATGGGGAATAATATTGACATGGCTAACAATGAAAGGGCCCCTCACCAATTTTTAACCACCAGACAAATTTGCTGTATTTTAAAAGGTTACTTTTTTATTAAGCAATTTCTGACAGGCTAATTCACTGTAGTTGTATTCCAGAGTTTCTGAAACACCTAAACTAAGACAAAGGATGCTATGCAATACAAAAAGCTTTCTTATATCATATTATGCCAAAAAGTCCTTGCATGAACCTGACAATGCTATTCATGTTTGGAGTATTGTTTGACATACTGTATTAACATTTCTATAAGCCATTAACACCTTCCTATATTTCATTTATTTCTAGATGTTTAAGTCCCCTAATAGAAGACTGGTCACATCAGATCCCTAGAGGTGTGACAGTTTTAAAATTAGCAATTTATATTATTAGGAATTTGGCATAGTGATACTGAAGGTCCCTAGGGCAAAGAATTTGGGAAGATGATTAAAGAAGCAACATAAACTTTCCATACCACCATGCAGGAAATTCCAGTATCACTGTATGCATCTTAGTACTGATATACAAACACAGACACATATCCCTGTGGCACTGTGTTGGGTCCTTTCATATATACCATTTATAGTTGCAGATAATCCAAGAATTTTAAGTGCTGAAATACTCCCCCAAAATTGGGTTTGGCTTATCTGCAGATGGGCTTATCCACAAATATATATAATTTTTTTTAAGTA